CTCCATGGCCTATTCTCGAGGACACCCCTCTAGCTAAGGCCCAGGGATCCCCTCCCTTTGACTGAAAACTGCGCCTCGGGTCTCCCCCGTGCGTTGTGCTGGAACAGCCTGGCGTGGCATGAAATAAATGGACCCTGACATACACTGATGTGAAATCTGGACATGTGTACAACGCACAGCTATGTTGCGACCTCACATGACATCACCTTCATGCCGCCACAGAGCTATGGTACACTAGACTATCTGAGGTCCCCCTCCCAGATGGTCTTGTGCGTTGTCATGAAAGGAAAAACTTGAAAAACACAACAAAAGGACATGAGGGCACGGCACTTGCTCAGTAGGCACCCTACTGAAAGTCACCTGGCTCTACTATTTTCCTCTCGCGCATGATGTTGCTGCTGGGGGCGGTCATGCAGGCTGGATTGAAGCTCTTATCCAAGCCCCGAGCTGATGAATTCGGCTCTCCATGGCCGGAACGGGCCAGTGCTGCTGATCAGCGCAAAGGCCAAAAATTCGGCTTGGGCATCTTAGGCAGGCGGCCACCATGACGCTGGCGCTCGACGGAGGCACTGGTCACACCAGGGGCGCTCCCATGCCAGAGCTTCAAAGACGTCCGTGGACATGTATGGGTTCACCAGGCGCTTCGCCTTCCCATCGGCCTGCTTGTGCTGGCACAAGGTGATGCCGTCCTCGACCGTGACATGGGTGCTGGACCTCTCCGTAGCTGCATATCCCTGCGGCTCGGGGTGCTGTGTTCCCACCGCGGTGTCCTGGAAGGTCTTGTGCAGCCACTTCCGCATGCCTTGGTCGCGAATGACCTTGTTCAGCTCTGTATCCCTGCGGCTCTCCACGTAGTGGTTGGCATCCTCAATGGACTCGCCGGCCAGCAATGCACGGCAGAGGATGCCTAAGAAAGCACCCCGGTGTCGCCCCTTGATGCAGTGCACCACGACGTTGTCGCCGTGCCAAACAGTGTTCTTGACGGCCGGCCACACGTCTGTCCACTGTTCGTTGCGTTCCTGGCTGTATGCCGCCGCGAAGGTCATCAACTGAGCTCCCGGGAGGGTCACCCCCCCCGGCTCTCAGGACCATTCGGGAAGCAGCAGATCTGCAACGCTGTCTTGGGGAACTTGTCCACCGTCTGCCTCATTGGAAGTCCTGCCAGGTAGATGCCACCACCCTTCCGGGATGTCCAGATGCAAGTCGGGGCCTGGGCTGTCCCTGAGCCCACACCCAACCGCTCCAAGTGGAGGTCCAAGGTGTCTCCTGCTGCCTTGCCATGGCCTTTCTTTGGCATGGCCTTGGTCTGTGGCTTCCCAGGAGCGGCCAAGCGCTTCGGCGTTGTGGTTGTAGCCCTGGACTTAGCAGCTGTGACCGGTGGCTTAGGTGTAGCGGCTGCAGCCTTCGGAGGTGTCTTGGGGGCTGCAATGGCTGGCGCCTTGGGCGGAGTCTTGGGTGCAGCCTGACCTCGGGCTTTCTTGACAGCTGCTCGCATCACCTCGGCCATCTCGTCGTCAGTGGCACCGCTCGCCGCGGTCCTCTTCCGGCCAAAAGTGGCCTTCTCCCCCACGGCTGCCGGCACCAAGGTGGCCGATGGCTTGGGTGCCGCTGGCACTGCTGTTGCGGCCAACACCGCCCGCTTGATGTTGCAGACGCCTGCACCGTGCTTGCCACCACATGCCCGTCCTGACTTTTGTAGAATGGCACACAAGTGCACTCCGAAGGGGCAGGAGTCTGCCGGATTCGGGCACTCGTCCGTCTGGAACTCCGGGCAAATGGCCTTACCATTCTTCAAAGTGGCCGTCAGCACCTTGCCATTGAGTTGATCAGGCATCTGAGGTGCCGGTGCGGCTACGGCCTCTTGCCGGGCTTGCTGTGCCGCTTCGACAAACTGCTGTGACAACTTGAGCCTCTTCTTCACGTCCTGGAAGCTATGTGCAGAGGCCCAAATAGGTTGGCGGTCTTGTCGCAGCAACCTGTCAGCTTCAGTAAGGCCATGAGCTCGGGCTGCATCTAGCTCTGCCTGCGGGATCGCCTCCCACAGCAGGTTGCTAGCGAGCTTGGCCGTAGCGCCCCAGATCAGGGATTTCACCTTGACTGACGCGGCGTATTTTGCCGAAGAATAGTGAAATGCCATCGCCCCCACCTCTGGTTGCTCACTCTTGTTTTGCCAGTCGCCCAGGGCTGCCATTTCTTCAGGCCTGCATCCTAACAACTGGGCCACCGTGGGTGCAAGCCTCCTCCAGCTGTAGGTGGTCAGATCTTCTGGATTGTCGAGGAACACGGACATTTCCTGTTGCATCGTCTCTTGCACTTCTAGGATCGTCCATGGGCGCCCTTCGTCTGAAAAACAAAGGCCTGCAAGTCTCTGCCTTGCTGGTGCCAGCGTCCTGTATGCCTCCAGCACTTCCTTGGCCCAAAAGAAGCCGTTGGCGAATGTGGCCGGCACCGCAAAGTCGAAACCTTCGCGGGCATGCTTTTGTTTTCCCTTAGGGCACCTGCAATGGAGGAATGCAGCGGTGAGGCGCCGAGGTTCTGACCGCGCGATGTGCGCATACCTCAAACAGCCAAACGACATGATCCAAGGAGCCAGAAGAACTGACCACCTCTCATCGCCGACCGCGTGCAACTCCGTGATGCGGTCCTCCAAGGCCTGCACTAATGGCGGCTCCACCACCGGTGCTTGCCCACGCTGCCCAGTCGCCCTGGGTGTTGTAGGCACTTGCAAGTTTCCCAGCTCCATGTCTTGGTCGGCATTCTTGTTCATCCATTTCAAGGCTTGGAGTGCTCGTGCTGGCGCCTGGGTGTGGTTGAGGAACTGATCCAGGTCGACCATTCCAGGAGGAGCGGGTCGCCCCCGACTCTCCAAGAAGGCCCTCAGCTCCAACCAGGTGTTGACCACTCGGTCAATGGTCGCCTTCTCCGCGTCCTTCACCTTCTTCTCGGCGATCCTCTTGCACGTTTGTTTCCATTCGGCCTTGAGGGTGTCTGTCAAGATGCCAGCTGGTTTGTATGCGCCCATTCCGACAAACATCGACACCAAGCCGTTCACCCGCTTTTGGACGGCCTCATCCAGGTTCTTGGTGACGTTGACGGCCTTGGGCTTTTTCTTGTAGATTGTCTTGCGCACAGGGCGCAGAGTGACGGAACCCTTGGGGTTGTCCTCCACGACTTTGGCCCCAGCGGCAAGGAGGTGCTCTTCCACCCTTGCTCTTGTCTGCAGCCAGTCATCTGCTACGTGATGGCCAGCTAGTCCAACGACTTGATCGTAGTCGGTGTAGGCATAGGCGAAGTCGTTGTCGTCCAGGAGGCCTTCGTTCTCCCTCCATTGACGCGCACGCTGTGCAGCTATCATCATCAAGGAGTCGGCTGCTCTCCATCCCGGTTCAGGGTCACCCCCTGACGAGGACGAAGCTGCCGCTTGAGCTGCATAGTAGCCTTTGCCGCCTGATGCCATGGCGCTGCACCCTAACAAGATTGCTAAGGTGCGGAGAGCAAAAAGATGCTGCGGTGACTTCAGAGGTGCCTCCTCTGTCATAAAATCAACCTGCAGCAAACATCTTCTTACGTCCTCCACAAGTGCTGCATGGCTCACGCCAGGTGAAGCAGTCACTACACATCCCGACGCAGCATGCCCAGCACACGCGCCTGGTGGGATCTCCGCACTCTGTGCAGGCGGTGCCCAGCTGAAGCATGCCTGCATCCTGGCATTCCAGCCATCCACATAGCGCTCGATGTGCCCTGGCGCCTTCTCTCCCCCAGGCCACCCAGGGTCGCCCCCTAGGTGCTCTGGGGAAATGCCGCGGCTCGAGGAAGACCGGTAGGAGCTCGTGAGGGCCTGTGCATCTGAGCCAGCTCCTCCATTGATCGAACAGCTCCCCCAAGCCCAGTTGCCCAGCGTCGCCCGCTGAGCACCTGAGCTGCAACCCGTAGAGATCCTGGGGCACGATGTCAGCGGCCACTTTGTGCTTCGTATAGGCAGCGACCAGCAACAGGTCCATGGGGTCCTGGTGCTGGTAGTAGTACGCCCAAGCATCCGCAGGCGCCACATCATCGGGCAGCACAACGCCACGGCTGTTCCACAAGCCGAGCCACGGGAACTTGAACCCCCCCACATGAGCTGCGCAACGCTGGCAGTCATCAAGGCAACAGGGTAGCTTCGGCAGGGGGGGGAAAAGCTCTGAATCTGTCCCAGTCGTGATGACGTAGGGGGAATGCAACACTTCAATGCCATGCATCCAGCATGTGTATGCTGCAGCATCAGAGCCCTCCCGCGCCAGCCTTTCCACGTGGCTCTTGAACTCCAGGAAAGCAGCAGCATGAAGGATCTTCGCCTCAGTGGCTGCCGGGATATCGATTCCTGGGAGTTTGCGCTGCATACAAGGTCGCCCCTTGTATATAATTTGAACCACCCAATCAAGGTCTGGAAAGGTCACCCCTTACCAAGACCAAGAAAGAAAACAGCAATGAATGCTATTTTGGTTCAAGTTTACTTGAGCCAAAATGGTAGCATTCATTGAAACACTTAAAGATGATACATGCACACCCAAGCCTGCCAAACTCAATGCATGGGTATATATATATGTGTGTGTGTGCGTGTGTGATATGATATAACATTAAATCATATATGGATTTAGTTCTGTCAAGAGTTCTTTGCAGTGTTTCGCATTATTGTCATCGATTTCACAGAAGTGGTCATCGATTTCACAGAAGTGGTCATCGCTGCACAAGCCCCCTAATAGCGTTCGTGTTCAACCTCTGCGGAATGGACTGCCTTTTATTCATCATGTATTCTGTATTCCTTTATCTATCTATTTACTTTTATTTACTGACCGAGATCGTTATTTCGCGAATCAGTGTCAAGGGCACATGATCGTGGCCGAACCGCTACCTTCAAAACGGACAAATCTTGGACACTAGAGGTTTTCTGCACCATCCTCATCCCCACCTTTCCACATCTTTCCACCAGATCATCCCATTCCCACCGTAGCCGCCGTAGCCTCCTGAAAGGCGAAGCCGCCTGAGGAGCAATCCGTGACGCCGACGCCAAAGCCTTGGTCGCAGTCCGCCAGGCCATGGTCGATCAGTGACACCATGCCATTGGCGAAGGCCAAGGCGTTGGGCGGCGTGAAGATCTGGAACTCCGGGGCCACCAAACCTGCCACAGCACCAGAGCATTTCGAGACTTCTGGGGCAGCTTTCCCACTGATTCTTGGATGGATTGTAGCTTTTGGTGTGGTCTTGGCGAAGAAATCCTAGCGGAATCTGGGTTTGACAGTTTGACAGTTTGACATATGTTTCGGTGGGTGAATATGGGTGGAGGTCCCACAAAAATATCATTTGGCTGTGCCAAGTCTGACATGCGAGGACTGTGCGTTTGAGCCCACTTGGGAGTTGCCTGCAACACTGGTAGAAATTGTGCCAGAAAACCCTTGCAAAGTGTGGGGTGTATATACAAGGTTTGAAACTGACCCATGGTTTCCTCGCACGATTTTCCCTCCCCTACCAGTTGCCTTCCGGAAAATCCTCCGGCCGGAATTCTGGCAGGTAGAAATTGAAGACTGTGGGAGAGGCGTAGGGAAACTGGCCAATGGCCTCGATGATGTTGCGCAGAAAGATGGGACGATTTGCTTCGTCCTGATACTCCATGGAGCGCATCAAATGAATCACCTGCGGCTGTGCGGCTGGGGCATGGAAGCTACAGCCACTGTTTCTGGCAAAGAGCAAACCCTGCATCAAAAAGACCATACTTGGCGCATCCTAGAGGTCCTACTGCCAGAGCTCCTACTCTCGCATTTTGGTGGCCAAGATGGGCAAAGCACGTCAATAAGAGCACATAAGTCTTGAAGTCTTCACTGCATCCAGAGAACGGCTGATGAGAACAAACACGTTCTCGCAGCTCTCTTCTTTTCAAACCGGTATCATCTTTAGACCTACAAGCATGAGTCCCTATAACAAGATCTGCAAAGCATAAACTCACTTGACTTTGGGGTCATTGCATGTTCTCCTGCAGGTGTACCTACTTGCATTCCAAGCTGGAAACCAAAGGTTCTGCACGTCTAAGTCATTTCAATATATATATATATACAAAGGAAAGGGAAAAAGGATGTTTCCAATTCCAGGATTTTACACTGGAGGGCATCAAAAAGAAAAAGAAATCAGGCGGGAACCATCATCAGACTGACAGCACAAATAACGCGACAAACAACCCGCAACCACATGAACCACAGTCACAATCTTGTTCCGAGGAAGTGGTCATAGGTATAGGGATGAAGCTGTCTATATATCCGATATCCAGAGATGGGAAAACTGACGAAGGGAAAAACACACAAAGTTCGGAAAGTGGACAAATTTCGAGCAACCCCAAACTTCCGTTGACCCATCTGTGGTTATTCCAAAAACCTCCGGTAACTTCACATACCTATGGATAAATCACCATGCTTAACAAGTAAATTATCGATAAAAATGCCATTTTCCTCCATTTCCATAGCTATACTGTTAGTTCGTTGGAACGTGTGACACATCCGTTGCGGAAGCCTGCCTTGAGATACGGCTCCCGCAAGGCCCCGTTGCTCTCGCTGGTCTGCGCGCGCGCTTCGCTGTGCATCAGCACTGCCACAGTGGTCGCCTTGAGGTCACCGTAGGCGCCGCTGTAGGTGATGCCACCGTAAGAACCTGGTGATGAAACCTACCAGAAATATATGGGAAAATGCACATGTCTAAATATATATATATATACATATAAATATACTATATACACATATGCACATATGCACATATGCACATATGCACATATACATGTATATATATATATATGTGTGTGTGTACTATTTAATTGATTTATCTATTCATGTATGCAGACGATTATAGACGCATGTTTGGGTTCTGCGATATGGTATGGTATAATGTGTAAGTGACATAGTATGATGTGACACGGTATGATGCAATACCATATGGTATGGTCTGCTATAGTATGGTCTGCTATAGTATGGTATGATGTGATATGATATGAGTTTAATGGTATTACTTGGAAATCATGCGATATGATTTGATGTGATCTGATGTGATGTGAAACGATGTGCAATGGTATGGTCTGCTATGGTATGGTATGATGTGATATGATTAGAATTGATTAGATATTTGTCAGCCAACACCCGGCCTGTCTTAAAGGCATCGCTGACCGCTTGCACATAGGCACCGGAGGGGTTGGAGGTCACAAAACGTTGGATCATGCGATAGGCCACGAAGACCGGCGTGTTCGGATGCTCAAAGAGATGATCCAATAAGGCTTCCACTTCCCAGAGGCAATCACGAGCTCTGGCTGCCTGGAAGATCGTGCATTCAAAGCCAATGCCCGAAACCTTCAACTGGGGATGGTTTCTACAAACCATTTCATGTAAAATTGGGATAGTCAACGGTAAATTACTATGCTCTGTCTTTTTGAGGGTTACTGAGTTGCTGAGCACCGACTTCGACCCTTTCGCTGCCTTTCTGTCCACGAAGACCGGAGGATTCTGCAAGGTCGCCCCGCCGGCACGGATCACATGCATACCATCCTGCAAAAAAAAACGTGCAGCGCTCATTTGAGGCTTTGAGAAATGGTCAGGCAGCCTGATAGGTCGTCTAATGTAGCAGGTTGGGCTTGAAATATGTTTTTTGAAGAGAAGTTCTGTCAACTTGAGGTGTGAATTGAGATGCTAAGTGAAATCTGACGTTGGCAACTCATTGGAGCGCTGAACATCTTGAGGTCACAAGCGGCCTTGCTGAAAATTTCACATCCTGCATTTCTGTGAAGGCGCCCTGCCTGCTGATCCAACTGCACGGGGCAGGCACAGGCTCCGACGGCAGCCGTGCAGCCGCTGGGACAGCTGGATGTGTCAGCAGGAGGTTCTCCTGACACGAAGTTCCTGGTCTGGGAAAGCGTCAAGAATTGGATAAGGTACCCATGGGTACCCAAAAATCCATGGTTCCCCTGGGATGAAAATCTGCAGTTCTTTGGGCTCTAGGTGCTTACCCTATACCCCCAAAAGCTGGGATGTTCCAACTGAAGGCAGTGTCTATTTATTATGGATATTTGTTCTGGACCGACACTATGACCGACTCTAAGGCGTGCCAGCTACATGTTTCTCCGTCGCTTGGACACCCGTGAGCCTGGAAAAGAATCCTAACAGTCTAACAGATGATATTCCCATACCGTCCCATATTTGAAGCTCAAACCACCCGCTTCGGAGCTGCAACACGAGTTCCTCATATCTGACATCATGCAACCCCTGAGGGTCTACCTTGATCCCTTTCCCACCCTGCAGCCCGGAGTCCCAAGGAATTTGTTCTGTCGAGTCTGGCTATCCTCATTGGAGCCCACTTCACCATCCGGATAAAGGAGAACCTGCTCACGACGACAGGAGCGTGTGGGAACGGTGTCAAGTGCAAAACCCTCCAGTTTGGTGGGAAAACCTGCATTTTCTTTCTATTTTTGGGTTCCCCCAAGTTAGGAAACATGAAACTGATTGAACTTCAACCACGTCCTCCACCAAAATGCCCAGCATGGAGCCCCGGCACCTCGAAATCTGCGGTGAAGAACAGGCTCACACATGCTGGGCGCAAGAACTCATAGAAGCCATCCGCCACCAACAGAGTTGTAACAGCTCCGGAAGAGCATTCTGTCCCAAAGCATGCCCTGCAGCTGCTGACAAGGGATCAGGAACCACGAGATGCCGATTCGAAACAGGAACTACTATGAACTACTCTCAAATCGATTCAAATCGGAAATCTACTACAAAATGAACATATAAACCACCAGAAACGTCCCTATCTATTTCAGGCGCAGGGCAGGTGAAGAACTAGTAACTATTTGGGCTCCAAACTCTGAGGCCAAAACATTGGACATGTCTTTCCCCCTGCATTTTTTTGGAGGAAAATGGTCTAAAAGCAGCGACACACCAGGAAGATAATGAGGTAATGGCTGAGATATGCGGAGATTCTTCGCTTCCAGGCCAAGTTATAACCATTTCTCAACCATTTCCCACTCATTTCTCAACCCTGAGCAAGACACAGAGTCTCTGTCAACTCATGGCGAAGCTGATGGCTGCAGACCTGTCGAATCATGTCCAAGGTGGTAGGTGTATATCAGAAAAGTTTGCATTTTTTTAGCATGCTCCTTGGTTTGCAGTGAGCATATACATGTATATAGAAATCATCTAATTGTCATACCATCCCATATCCCCATTTGATCAGTATGCTACCAGTTCAGAGGTTGAAACCAAAAACGGCTGCATCGTGACGACCTGAAATGGGGTGCGAAACCGTCCAAGTTTGGGGGTAAGGGTGAGGGTGGGGGTGGGGGTGGGGGAGCAAGGCATAATATGAGTCAGATGAGACTTTGCAGCTTCACCTACCCACTTTCAAAATGTTCAATTTGGGGCCAGGGTCAGTCAGGCGATCAGAACTCTTCAAAACTTAACACCACATAAAATTAGAGGTGTCCGCTTGCGAAAAATCTGTGGGTCCAAAGGGGGTCAGCTCCACCTGCGCACCGCCGCAAAGCGTCTGATACAAAGGCGACTCAGCCTGCAATTTCTGCCGTGAGGGGAAGGGCTTCCCGACTTCCCAAGAAAAAAACAGAGTCGGAGTTGCAACAAGTCAGCACTGAGTCAGCACAGGAGGGGATCTAAACGTCCTGGGTTCCTACATTTCTCCTGCCAACCCGTCCCTAGCATTTTCGACACCAAGGGGCCGAGAGAACCAAGACGTTGGGGTCTGTGGTGGAATGCCCCAAGAAGCGGTACTTGGCACCTCGATGAGGTGCAACGGACAGTGGATGGCAGTGGATAGCAGTGCGACTGTTGACCTATTTTCGTCTAACCATAGCGAAAGGCCAATCGAATCACAGGTCATGGCTGGGGCTGCGCTTAGAGGCTCATGCCCAATCCTCCAAGCTTCATGCGCCTTGTTCCAGGAAACTCTGCACGGACTGCTCAGAACAGAGCGGATAGCCATCGCCCAAGTAACCACCTCAGTAAAGGGCGCGAAGTTGTGAGCCAATTCAAAGTCATCCCAACATCCAAGAAGCCCTGGCGATACCCCAAACAGAAAGGCATCCGTCAACTTTAGTTGTTTTCTCCGAGGTGCCATCCAGCTTGGGCTTTGGATAGGCATCATGCCACTCTGCTTTCATCTGCATGGGATCAATCATGTTGCTCTTTCCTTCCACATGCTCAATATTGGCTCGCTCCGCTTGCTCGTCGAAGCCGGTGAACACGCGGGCAAAGTTCATGATATCCCTGCCAGGTGGAAAATTCAGACATCTCCCAATCCTGGCCTAGAAGGGGTGCCCAATCCTAAAGTTGTGTGCCATTTTGCGGGGGTTGACACATACATGCAGTTCCAAGGAAGCGTTGATTCAGCTTGACACATCCCCTCGGTATCACTGAAAGCTGCAAGGTCGTTGGCGCCTGTTGGAATAGGTCGGCACCGGTGCCCCATCCTCCAAGACCCTGGTGCCATCGGTGTTGAGTTTCCACAAGCCGATCGTGAACCTGGCATGTTGCTGAAAAATGAAAATTGAACCAACAGGAATTAGGTGGACAAGCAACGAAGAAACAAGAATATTACACATGGCATCCGCATTGAGACATCACACATCAATGATAGATTGACCTGTTTATAGAAGTCATTTCCTTTTTGAAACACCCTTCTGGAAAGCGCGCTGAAGTCCAAGCCGCAGCTGTTGGATTTCACGGGCATAGTTCTCGTCCGGATATACGCCATCGCTGTCGAAAGCGCGGTTGCGTTTGTAGGTCAAGTAGTCGCCTTCCCCCGGGCCCCATCTTTGTTCCACTAGGCCACTAGGCATCAAGCCCCAAGAAGGTCTAAGGATACTGCAGCCGAGTCGCCCATCACGGGACTGTAGGTCACCTGGCAGGACGACCCACATCTTGTCTATGACCGAGATATGCACGGAGTTTCACATGGAAAGCAGGTAAGTATACGTCTACAATGTCCCGTGCCACAATGGCTCTATATCCTGTGCAAGGTGAATGAAGTGACAACAACAGCAGGCAGCCAGGTGTTTTATCTGGTCCAGCTCGCAACAATAGTGAAGAAAATGCAGTCATTGGAAGTCATTGCAAAACATTCTTGCAAATAACCTGCACATGCAATCAACCCTGCCGAACGAAAACCAGGCGCATCCACCCTGCAACATTGATTTCTTGGAGGAGCCATTGCACTGCCAAAGTCTTGAACTATTGGCTCCGAAGCTCTCTTTTTGGGCACCGACGACGCGTGGAGAAGCCATTGGTTATAGAAACGAAAAACCAAAACAAAATTGAAACGACCAATCATCGTTCAACTGCTATCATCCACAATTCCTACCCAGACGGCCCAGAACTTCACATAATCATTAATCCACATTTAGATGGGTGATGTTTCCATTGCTCTGGCTGAAATGTTTTGGTTTTTCTTGGTCAGCCATCCGTGCCTGACTTCATGAAATCTGGACTTTGAGGTCAATAAGATACGTTTAAATGTCCGTTTTCGCCGTTTGTCCGGCAGGTTCTATCCCCCTCCCCACCCATCCAGGGCCATCCAGCCACCGCACCTCCCGCAGCACGTCCCGGAAGTTGCCAAAGGCGTGGCGCACAAAGATGTCGTAGTAGTTGACGTACCTCACTGGTCCGTTCGGCTTCAACTTGTGATGTCATGTATTGGGGATGGGCCAAAACCTGCCATATTTGGGGGAGTAAACATCCGTTCACCAGCTGTTTCAGGGCACCTAGGACTAAGGGTACCAGGGATTTGGCACAGAATATGAGACCCTCTGGTGATCAAACATGGTTTGCTGGAAAATCCCCCGGGAGGGTTCCCGCTCCCAGGGATTGAAACCCAACAGGTGCTGTTGGGAACTACCAAGTTTTTGCGAAGTTTATGCTACTCATGGTTTTTCTGATACATAATAAAGCCAAATATCATCAAAGGAGAGGACTCATAGATGTTCATAGATAAAATGCCCCTTAAACAAAACTAGGTGTATGACAAAACAGGGTTCAAAGCTCATCTCATTAAGGGTTGCTTGGGCGCGGGATGCTCCAGGAGTTCTCTGGTGGCATCGATCTGTCGCGTCAACCGACGAATCATTCCCAGTTTACGAACGTACGAAGATGAATCATGGAGAAGTCGATCACAAAAGTTTGAGCACTTCGGCACCAAAAATCAAGCGCCCGAGGCACATCTCCGTGTGGCTCATGGTGGCATCATCTGGCGCCACCACAAAGATCTGCGCCAAAGCCCAGGCCACCCTCTGCCGCAGCTGGTCGGCCGCCTGGCAACTGCGGCGAAACGCGGAGTTGTGGAAAAATCATGGGAAAATCATGGGAAAATATGGAATATTCCGGATGAATGGAGGTTTATAGCTGGAAAAATCATATATATATATATATATTTCTCTCTAAATCTATATCTATATCTATATATATATATATGTATGTATGTATGTATGTATGTATGTATGTATGTATGTATGTATGTATGTATGTATGTACGTATGTATGTATGTATGTATGTATGTATGTATGTTATGTATGTTATGTATGTTATGTATGTTATGTATGTTATGTATGTAATGTATGTTATGTATGTTATGTATGTTATGTATGTAATGTATATGTATAATGTATGTTATGTATGTTATGTATGTAATGTATGTAATATGTAATGTATGTAATGTATGTAATGTATGTAATGTGTATATGTAATGTATGTACTGTATGTAATGTATGTAATGTATGTGTGTAATGTATGTAATGTAGGTAATGTATGTAATGTATGTAATGTATGTAATGTAATGTATGTAATGTATGTAATGTATGTAATGTATGTAATGTATGTATTAATGTATGTAATGTATGTAGTGTATGTATGTAATGTATGTATGTAATGTATGTATGTATGTATGTAATGTAATGTATGTATGTATGTAATGTATGTATGTATGTATGTATGTATGTATGTTATGTATGTATGTATGTATGTATGTATGTATGTATGTATGTATGTATGTATGTATGTATGTATGTATGTATTAATGTAATGTAATGTAATGTAATGTAATGTAATGTAATGTATGTAATGTATGTAATGTATGTAATGTATGTAATGTATGTAATGTATGTAATGTATGTAATGTATGTAGTAATGTATGTAATATGTATGTATGTATGTATGTATGTATGTATGTATGTATGTATGTATGTATGTATGTATGTATGTATGTATGTATGTATGTATGTATGTATGTATGTATGTAGTAATGTAATGTAATGTAATGTAATGTAATGTAATGTAATGTAATGTAATGTATGTAATGTATGTAATGTATGTAATGTATGTAATGTATGTAATGTATGTAATGTATGTAATGTAATGTAATTTAATGTAGTGTTATGTAATGTAATGTTAATGTAATTGTTAATGTTAATGTTAATGTTATTGTTAATGTTAATGTTTATGTTATGTTATGTTATGTATGTATGCACATGGGATTTGTCCAACTCAGTAGCAAAGTTTCAATTCTGTGGGGACATGTAGCCTGTGCACAACCCACAATACTCATCAACTGGAGTTATACAATCCATCCGGAGCATTATTCCACCGCAAGGTTTGATTGCCAGAGGGGGCCAAGGGGTTCACAGCCATGGTTGGCTCATTGAGGTACATGCGCAATATCCCGTTCCAAGCAATTTTATATATAGATGGCGAACCACTTACTGATGCACCTCCAAATCTGGAACATAATCTTTCCAATTCGCCGCAATGCCCATCCACAAAAAACTGCAAACGTTGAGGTCAGCAGTGCTCGGCAAGTTCCTACAGATTTATAGCAAGTTCATGTGACATGCTGTGGCCAGCCCACCAGAATTGACGAACTTCCTTGCATTGGGTGGTTACCCTCTTGGTAAACCAACATGACTATAGAAAATCACCATGTGTTTTTCCAAGGAAATCAAGTATATATAAATCACATTTTTTCATACAAAACATGACACAAATAGCTATCCGTGGAGCCCAAACTGCGCCCAGTAACCTGCAAGGCCAGCATGGTCCAAATGGACGCACGGCTCAGTGTGAGAACATCTGCGGGTGAGTCGTAGGTCACGTCAAACGCCAAGCTCAGCTCGGTGTCCTCCAGTTTTGTCACTTGGAGGAGCATCCCTCAAGTTGCAGTGGGTGGTGGCAACCATGTATCTCTGTATGCATATATGATATGTATATACACACAGTATATGTGTACGTGTGTGCATCTATCTATCCAATCTATAATCATCTATAATCTATCTACCCGAGCGAAAAAATGGGACGAGCCCACGAAACGGAGATTGGCGTCAACAAATCTTGACATCCAGTTCCGGACTGGGGATCCTCCCCAGCGCGCCTTGGCATGGAATGGATAGAGATGGCTGGTTCCTTCTGCCACCTGAGGTCAGCTGAGCTGCAAACCGAACGATTGAAACAGGCATGGATGAAGAAATTCATGAAGGACTCCTGGAAACCACTGCAGTTTGCCAACAAATCAGTAAAGCAAAAGGTCACTCAAGCGATCAGGCAGTCGATCTGTTCATGGCTTCTCCATCCCCCCGCGCCTCCCCAGGAGACCCACAGACCTCCGCAAAGGCGCCAGCGCCGCTGTTCTCGGGGCTGAGGGCACCAAAGGCCGCACCGATGCCGTAGGTTTGGAGGGTCTGGGGCAAGTTCCTGCTGTTGTTCACTGACCCCAGGTCTGGCAGCTTACAGCAACCCCCACAAAGATGGCAAAACGTGTTTCCAGGATCGTATCGATCATATATCTATCTATCTATCTATCTATCTATCTCTATCTATCTATCTAATCTAATCTAATCCAATCCAATCCAATCCAATCTAATCCAATCCAATCCAATCCAATCCAAACTAATCTAATCTAATCTAATCTAATCTAATCTAATCTATCTATCTATCTATCTATCT